ACGACACGTGGGGAGGTTTCAAGTCGAACAAGGAACCATTATATTCAACTCTCTCACCAGTTGAACATTTTCTACTTTTCAGTCTCTTCAATGCTTTTCCTGAAGAATGGCGCAAAATATTAAAAACAAATAAAAACTCTATCTCTTCAAAAACTCATGATCTAATCCAAACTGATTTCAAGTTACGTATTGAAGGAAAAAAAGTCAATTTCCAAAATCTTAAATCAAAGTCATTATATGACAGTTTTGTTTCTAAGATATCCAATATACCAACAGCGCAAAAGAAATATAACGAAGCTTTCAGCACACACACATTTCAGTTGGACTGGGAAAAGATATATCTACTGCCCTTCAAAACAACATTGGATACTAAATTAAGAGAATTCCAGTATAAAATATTAAACAGGATCTTATACACGAACAAGATGCTGTTTAAGTTCAAAAAAGTAGATTCTCCCTTGTGCGATTTTTGTGAAAAGGAGTTGGAGACCATAGAACATCTCTTTTTCCATTGTACAAAAGTAAGTATGTTTTGGAATGATTTAAAGTCTGTACTTGATTCTTTTAATATAACTATTAGGTTTGATATCATGAATGTCCTTTTTGGGATCTTAGATACAGATGATATAAGCATTCTAGTCAATTACATCATTCTTGAAAGCAAATATTTTATTTACCGCTGTAAGTTAAATAAGGGCTGTTTATGTGTAAGACTGTTAGTCGATAAATTTAAAAAAACGTTTCAAACCGAACGTTTTATCGCGAAAAGAAACAACAAAATCCATTTCCATGATAAAAAATGGAAGCCGTTACTCCCATTAATACAACAGTAGCTGTTATCCAAACTTCGTTTTTCTAATACTCCCTGTATTACTCTGTATTTTAAGTTCAAGTCGAATAAGTTATGTAAGCCTTGTAGTGTAGTGCAGTGTAGCTTTTTATTTATTTATTCTATTTTCTTCTTTTTTTTTCCTTTTTTTTCTCTTTTTTTTTTTTTTTAATTAAGGTAGTTGTTGTAAATTTTGTAATGTTTGTATGTTTCGATCTGTATGTTGTTTGTACTATACCTGTAAAAAGAAAATAAATAAATAAAATACAAAAAAAAAAAGTATAGAAATCTATGAGATGGAAGACCGATTAAAGAACGGTTAGCTAAACAGCTTCACCGAGAGACAGGTGTAAAAGAAGGACGTCAACGTTACAAGTTGATTGTGGCAGATTATGTGTCTTCTGCCATCATATTTCGAGGCATCGTGGAAGACTATTTCAAAGTCATTTACCTGGTGAAACATGAAGCCCACTACGACGGGTTGCGAATTATGATTGCGTTTCTGAACCGTTGCTACTTTAGTCCTGAATGTTGCAAAGGCTGTGACGTGGACGATGCTGCCCACCATACTTGATTGGGTCGTAATTGTTCGAGTTGCCAACGAAAAAGTTCCTGGAAAAGTAAAGTAGGTTGCCCAGATTTTAAACCTGGTAAAGCACGCACAATCCATCGCAAAGACTGCAAGCGAGATTTTTATGGAGGAAACTGTTATAAGGCTCACAAATTGAAGAAAGGCAAGACGAAACTCAGTCTCTGTGAGAAGAAACGAAAATGTTTGATTTGGTGTGCTCATTCTGAAATAAAACCTAAACAACCGCACAAATGTTACCATGATAATTGTCGTCACTGTGACAACTATGCCCACATTCATAACCATAAATGTTACATTCAACGGGTTGTGAAAGAGATGACCGAAGAACAGAGTATGATAGAAGAAGAACAAGATGCAGAGATTGATGAAAAGAAAAAGAAGAAGCCACCACCCCTCTTTGTCTATGGAGACTTTGAATGTTTGATTGATGATAAAGGCAATGGGACCAAACTTTTGTAGGCTGACTTGATTCGATATGCTATTCAAGGTGAGGAAGATGTGCCTTATGCATGCAGTAACCCAGACTGTATTCGAGATTTTATGTCAGCACTGAATAATTTAACGGACGTGCACGACGAGGATTTACAATAGGATTTGTTTGTTGTGTTTCATACCCTAAAAGGGTTTGATGGAAACTTCACATAGAGGAACTGTACAAACAAGGCATGAAAGTTTTAGATGAGTTGACGACAGGAGCGAAAACACTGAAGTTTACCTGTTTTTTACGAAACAGGAGATATAACGTTTAAATATTTTCTATGTTTTATGCCGGTGGCACTCTCAGAATTACCAGGCATGTTCAATTTTGAGGAACTACACAAGGGTTGCTTTCCTCATGCTTTTCATACCAGAGAGAATTTAAGTTACCGAGGTCCTATCCCTGCCAAAGAATATTTCCAACCCCAAGCTATGAAGCCTAAGAAACGGAAAGAATTTGACTCGTGGTATGCAGTAAAAGTTGGTATGGTATGTAGGTATGTAGGTATGTGGTATGTAGTAAAAGGAACTGAACAAGTATTAGGGGTGACGAATGGTCTTTGCGAGCATTCGCGAGCATGCGAGCACTGCGATTTTTTTGCGAGCACGAGCAGAGAAAAAATTTGCTCTGCGAGCAAGGGGCGGTTTAGAGAGTACAACTCCTGAGCAGTGAGCACTTCTTATATTTTCCGCTTGCAACAATCCATATGGAAATTCTTTTCTTTAAAATAAAACAGAAGGTATTTTAAAAAGATGATGTGATAGTCATCGCTAAGTTCAAAGAGAACCGTTGGACCCTTTATTTTAGGAATTCAAAGCTTGCACTTCCTTAAGAGAGCTTCGTCTAAAGTAAAAACAAACCTGTACGCAAGCGATCCCGAAGATTGTCTAATATTCAATTACGAGTTCATGATCACTGCTTAGGTAGAGAAACTGAACATCATATGATTGGAACCGTTTGGGAAGTGCAGTTCACAGACGAAGATTTTCATATCGATTTAAACCAAGAGCTCTACGAAGAATGTCTCGAGCCTACAAGGGGGGTTAAAGAAAGGGACATGACTAATATGGATGAAGAAGAACTTGAACAGGAAAAGATCTTCGTGTCAGAACCAACCTCTCCTGGAAGAATCCTAAAGCTTCCAAACCGTTTTTGTTGAAAACACGGCCTAATCAAAGCCCAGTGAGTAGAGCGGTAGAGAATCTCAGAAGAACTCAAGGCAACAATTATATCTTCTCTTTTTAACCATATATAGCTAGATTAGCTGATTTATTATTTATCGTTGTCATTTATCGCGTGCATTTCCACTGAACTTCATAGCTATATTTATAGGAATTAAGCACCATACAGAATTACATTTACTTTAATCCAAAGAAGGATCCACAAAATCTCGAGCAATAATGACAAGAAAGCGAACATGCGAGCGACTGCAAAAATTTGGGGAGAACGAGCACTGAAGAGCAAGCGAGCACTCGTTTAAATTTTGCGAGCAAATCGAGCAAAAGTAAAATTTTGCGAGCAGTTATAAATTTTAATGGACCATTCATCACCCCTGGTATTCTAATTCTGATGTCATGGTCCTAAAAGCAGCCTGTGAGGTGTTTATTCAAAAAAGAAGAGGAAGGTTTTAATCCCTTAAAAAACTGTGCAACTATAGCATTTGCTTGCAATTTAAAACACCAGAGAACACCATTGGTAATTGAACCCATGAATGGATGGCGCGGAGCTAATGTGAATCAAAGCCACATTGCCCTGGAATGGCTCTGTTATGAAGATTCTAATCTAGGAAGAAACAGAATACGCCATGTGAGGAATGGAGGGGAACAAAAAGTGATTACCCCAGCAGAACGTTTGTTTGTGGATGGTTATGATGCACAAACCAAGAAAGTCTATGAGTTTCATGGGTGTTTTTTCCACTGGTGTTTAAAATGTTTCCCAAGAGACCGTCATAAGAAACATAACTGTAATGCAGATCGAACCATCTCAGAAGTCTATTAAGCAGCCTGTAAGAAAACAAATCATGTTCGTCAGGCAGGGTATAAGGTCATTGAGAAATAAGAACGCTACTGGATAGGTTTTGTTCTTGTTTACTTGTGGATACAATGAGTTGATATCCACATACCGTAATATTTCTTCTCCTTCGTGTGCCTCACTCTATAATCGCACACCACCACGTCTTGGGTTGAGTGGTTCAATCAGTTCAAAGGTCGTTAAGAACTGGATGACAGCAGGAGTGCTTTTCTTGTCCACCTCAAATTGGGTCACCCTCACATCTTGGCGAATCCTGAAAATCAAGATATTCACAGTTACTTTGAAATCGCCAAAGTCAAGATCCTCGCTCCAGCCAATCTGTATCATCTGGTACTCCCAAAGACGATCAATAACAAACTCATGTTTCCCCTGCGTGGAAAGTGTGTGGTGGAGCAAATGGAAAAACCTTGGTTGAAACGAACAGAGATTTGTACTCACACCGAACAAGAAAGATGCATGATTGGAACATGGTGCACACCAGAGTTGCAAAAAGCGGTGGAGTTGGGATATCAGGTGAAGAAAATCTATGAAGTTTAGCATTTCCCCGAGGATCAGCGTAGAGAGGGTTTGTTTGCTGACTATGTCAACAAATCGCTCAAAACAAGCAAGAAGCAACGGGTTGGCCTAAGGATTGCGCGACAGAGGACCAAAAAGCAGCGTACATCCAGGCGTACGAAGAACGAGAAGGCATCAAGCTTGAAAACGTCGAAAAGAATCCTGGTAGATAAGGAGTGGCCAAATTGATGTTGGACAGGTAAGTGTCTCTTCCAGAAGGGTTTGACTTTTGTTGAATGTCATCTAATATTAGTTTTTTAATTGTACAGTTTTTGGGGTAAATTTGTTGAAAAACCAAACAAAACCCAAACGTTTACCGTCACAAACCCTACTGAGTTTTATGACATCATAGAGGATGCTGGGAACAAAATTCATGACATACGAATTTGCACAGACGAGATGGAAGAGGTCGATGTTAGCAAAGTCGATGAGGAAGTGATACCCAGCAGTAAAACCAACATCTTCATCGCAAGTTTTACAACATCTTGAGCAAGATTAGAGTTATACTCCTATCTGGAAACCTTACAAGAGCAAGTCTTGTATTTCGACACTGATTCTGTGTTTTATCTTTGGCGTGATGGATTACCTTAGGTGAAAACAGGTCTGTTTTTGGGAGAAATGAAAGACGAGACAGAAGGTGTACCCATCAAGGAGTTTGTCACAGGTGGTCCAAAAAATTACACTTATAAGTTACAAAACGGAAAACCTGAATGCAAAATACGCGGCTTCACTTTAGATGAACACGGCAGTGGCATACTCAATTTCGACTCAATGAAACATCACATCTTAACAGAAATATATGACCCACAAGATAAAAGGAGAACGATGGATGTACCTTAACTTAACTTTAACTTAACGAAAAAAGAAAACATTAACATTAGCATTAACTTAACGAAAAACGAAACCGAACCACAAAAGAAAACCAGTCTAGAGCCAAAAGTCAAGAAATATGGCTTAGTGTTTGATAAACGGGTGATAAAAACAGAAGACTGCAGTAGTAGACCCTATGGCTACGAGTGGGTTTGAGACACGACATAGATCTTTTATGGTCATTGTAGTTTGCATGAGGGTGTTAACTTACAATAAAGTTCATTTGAAAAAGAATATGACGGTGTGTTTTATTGAGTGAAAGCTTATTTCAACCCCAACCCCAACCCTAATCAGTCGGGTGCAGTGTTTAACCCTAATCAGTCGAGGGCAGTGTTTAACCCTAATCTGTGGGTGGTGTGTTTTGACTAAAATCAGTGAGGAAACTGGAAACAAGAGGGGGAACTGGGCATGAATGAAAGAAATGACGTCATTACCCATGATTGGGCATAAGTGTAGAAAATCTGCTAACTCAACCTATTTCAATCATAAAGAGTGCAGAAGTCTAGTAGTTGAAAAGATGCAATAACTTACTATGCGTGATTTGGAAATATTTTCCAATTGGAAGGAAAAGCGACCAACAAGACCCCATTGGTATAATTTATACAACCCACTAATCAAGATTGATTTAGTGGAAAGAGCTGACAGATTTGTTACCTGCAATGATAAGGTGGAAGAAATTGAACTAGAGGTGAACGTAAAACAACTTCGGAATCCAGAACCACATAAATCGTTATTGATGGCAATGAGTGATACTTTATTGCACGAGCTTCAACGGTTGATTGCGGAACCTGGTTTTCCTATGAAATCGCTCACATGTCTATCACTCCAAGGTGTGGAACCGTTACCATTACCGTTAACATGCAATTTAGGCATATTACACCAATATTCCCGTCTTCGCCTACTTTCCATGGACGGTGCTATTGACAAGAACCTTACTGGCCATGGTTTATTGGTTTAGTCAGAAATGGATGATGGAACGTACAATAACTCAATCCTTTCGTGCTTTCGTAGAATTTAGACTAGTTCTGTCACTCATTCACCGTAATATGGAATGACGTCACAATGGATGAATGAATTCAAGTTTTATACAGAGTTGTGCATATTTCTGTTGCAAATCGGCTTATTCTAGACCAACACACAAGTCAAACACTACATCCCAAAAATACGAATTTTAAAAAATTGAAAATCAGAAAAAGTTGGATTTTTAGGCAGTTTGAATTTTTGGGCCCTTGCATTTTATGTTTGCAAACGCTAAGTTGTGGTGTTTTACTGCATTTAAGCCACGCTCATCTTGTTTATGGTGTTTTACCATTGCGAAAAATTGGGCACATTGAAAGTTTTCGGTTAACCAACATGCGTGAGGGATGATACATAAACCCTAACCTATTAACCTATTAACCCTAACCCTAATCTATTTATCATATTAACCATAACCCTAACCCTAACCCCTTGGGTTTAACCCTAACTCACAAATATGGGCAAACGATGACGTCATGGAATGGATGACGGTACAGGTTTATTTTTAGCGATGACGTAAGGGACCAATGACATCACTTGGGCATAACTTGGGCATGTCTAGACAGTGACGTCAAAGACAGAGCAATAAATCACTCTCCCTGTCACGCAAAAGATCAGGGTTCGATTCCGAGACGTTATTTTTGATGTTGATCCTTTTATCATTGTGGGGAATACTTTCTTATTTTTATCCCATCACTTTCACCGGGAAATCAGTGGTCTACTGAGAGTACTGGTACAACATTTTTGCTGATCTGAAGGTTGAGGGCTGGAGACCTACTCATACGCCTTAAACATTTTTTTCTTTTTTTTATGACCGGGAAAATACTGTCAGAGAGTGTATGATATTCTAGGGGTAACGTTAAAGTTCAATCATTGGGAAAAAAGGACTGAATGTGACTAAAACTACTATAGCGACGACCGAAATCAAATGATTGCGAAGCGGTAACAGGAATAAAGTAACTGCGAAGCGATGACTGAGGTAAATTGTATGCGAAGCGATGGCAGAGTTAAAGTGACTGAGAAGCGATGATCGCAATTAAATGACTGCGAAGCAATGACTGAAAAGCAATGATCGAAATTATGTAGTCGGTCATATTACTAACTGATACTACTTAGAATTAATGTATTCTACTTCTAATCGTTTTTTCTTCGTTTTTCTTCGTGTTTCTGTAGTTTTTATTCGTTTTTCTTTGTTGTTATAAGTTATTGAATTAATTACATATAGAAGAAGAATTAAGAGACCTTTTAGGTAGGGGTTGAACTCATGACCTCTGGATCTGTCTTACCTGCACGCGATCCCACCTACACTATTGCAGATTGGCTAAGAATGAGCTCGTAAATTTGTGTATAGAAAAGTACTGATCGATGTCATAACCATGAATTACATCTCAATCACTTTACAATAGTTGCAATTCAATCATTTTGTAATGTTGCGTACTTTTAACTCTGTCATCGCTTCTCAGTTATACGATATTGGTCATCACTTCGCAGTCATTTGCTTTCGGTCATCGCTTCGCAGTTACTTTAACTCTGCCATCGCTTCGAAAGTCAATTAATTTCGTTCCTCGCTTCGCAGTCAATTAATTTCAGTCATCGCTTTTGCGTGCACTTTATCTTCGGCCATCGCTTCACAGTCATTTTAACTCAGTCATTGCTTCGCAGTCACTTTAACTCTGCCATCGTTTCGCAGTCACTTTACATCAGTCATTGCTTTGCGGTCATTTAATTTAATTAAATATACAGACCTGAACGAAACCACGAGGCTTATAACGAGTCAGGTCTCCTCAACTTAGGATAAACTAGTCGTGATAATATAATTACAATATGGGCTTATGACCGCGGACTCGCGCACATACACATACACACACACATGTTAATTTAATTAAGCTAATAATCTAATTAGAGCCATACTGAAGCTAATATGTACTAAGAAGGAATTCTTTAAGCTTTCTTTTGAAAGAAGCGGAGGTGGACGAACCAGTTATAGAAGAATTCAGCGAATTATAAAACTTTGGACCTTGGAAATAAATTGAGAACTGTCTGGTGTTCTTTCTGCATAATGGCAAGCGATATGAGTGGGCATTCAACATAAAAAAAACATATTGAAACGAATGGATATCATGAAATTTTAAAAGATTAAGCTCCTTAAAGATGGGACTAGTGTTGGCATCGTAGGTAGAGTTGTTCACTATTCTTAGTGCACGTTTCTGTAAGATTACAATTCGTTGAACGTTCGCTTTATAGGTGCCACCCCAAACTAGATTGCAATAGTATAAGTATGGAAATATCATTGAATTGTACAAGGTACGGAGAGATTAAGAGAGTGTCTCTGTAAGAGCGGTCCGGTCGATTTTCCTTGAGACAGATTTAGCTCATTTCTTATGTGTTGTAAGACATTCATGTCCCTATACTAAAACCACAATCCGTTTGATCGGATCTCTTTATTTTTCAGAGTTTTACGGAAATTAAATTTCACTCGACCGAAGGCCTGTCGTGTCGTCGGTCAAAACCAACAAGTTTTACTGCTGCTTATAGCAGGGCTGTCCGCGTTGTTTCCATGGCAGTATGTTACACTATTCTAGTGTCCACTCGGATCGCACCAAACTGGAGTTGTATCAAGCAACTTGTAAGAAAGAAGCCCTCCTCTGCAAAGGGGGTTAGAGTAGTGTCGCAGTGGTAGTGTCGCTGGGCGAGCTCTGCAAGTCCGACCCAACTCGCAACTTTGTGTCCAGGCGTCAATTCACCCTCTCCTCACTGAATCCGCGCGATGGTTTCTTTAATGGTAGGACCAACACCTGTCAGTTGTATGGCAAAGTCAATGAATCCCGGGGGGAGGAAATCCGGTACGTGGATGTCACCTCGTTGCATCCGACCGTCAACAAATACGACGTTTATCCCGTGAGTCATACGACCGTCCTCACCAATCCAGTGGAAGACATTGGGTAGCATTTTGGCATCGCAGACTGTACGGTGCTAGCGCTCGCACCCCTAGCAACTCTCCAGCACGTTTTGCCGTATCGCCGTGGCGGCAAAATTATCTTTCCCCTGTGCAAAACCTGTGTAGAAGAAAAACTGCCTAGACCGCTGACGGAAATAACATGGGCGTGCAAACATTTGCGGCAGGACCGAGCCATTCGTGCCACCTAGTGCACCCCCGAGTTATTGAAAGCTGTGGAGAAGGGGTACACCATCTTCCGCCTCCATGAAGTATACCACTTTCCAAAATCCCATCAAGAAAAGGCGATTGTTCGAGCAATATGTCAACACCTGACTAAATGAAAAGACCAAAGCCTCCGGTTGGCCACCCAATACGGATGAAAGCAGTAAAACAGAAGCAGAACGAAATACGTTTCTTTACAACTATGGGTTACGGGAAAGGATTGTTTTGTCACGAGAGAAGATACAAAAGAACAAAGGCAGAAAGGCCACAACTCAACTTTGTTTCAGTTCCTTTTAGGGCAAGTAGGAGAGCGTGAGAACAAGAGAGCAGTGGTCCAAATTAGACAACAGGCCATCTTGTACAAACTTCTCAAGGACTTCTTTGAAGTACTGCGGCGTAACAACACCCTTCCTAGGAATTTCAAAGGACTTTCTTAAGGGACATGACCGATGAATTGGACCCTGGGGATGGGATGCGCGACCACATTGTTGAATTCGTCTCCTGTGATCCTAAAAACTGTCGGTACCGGACCAAGAGAGAACAGTAGGATCAAGTTTTTCATGGAAAACCGTAAACCGCAAAATGTCACGTAACCACGGCCTTGCGGTAACGTTTGCAGTTTGCAGTTCACGTTTGAACCACAAGAACGGCTTCTAGTGGTAAGTGATTTACGGCAAGGTTTTTTGCCACTAAAAATCGTACAGCCTGGCGTTTTAAGGCACGAACTAGATTTTTATATTTGTTTGCGATGTGTTTGTTGGATGTTTGATTTCAAATCAATGAATTATTCCTGTTTTTTGGGCGATAAAACTGATGCACTTCGACTTAATGAAAAACAACATGGCGGCACTAAACAATGAACGCTTAGTTCAAGTCGATTTTATATTCCTGCCGTACTAACGTAAGAAAGTTTTCTCTTCCAATCCAGAGTTAAAAATTTGTTTCTATCTTGTTACTGAATTCATTACTTAAAACGTCTTAACCTATCACTCCGCGAATTTCATTTTATTTTACTTTATTATTCATTTGTTTGTGGGGAGCCCAGGCTTCATAAGCCTTCTGGTTTCCTCTGGGCTCCCTTGGCAACTTGCAATTCCTATACGCATTCTTGTATTGTATTATATTTTGGCTAAATAAAAATGAAATGAACTGAACGCTTTGCTGAAATTTGAAAACTCGGCAAGGTGAAACTGCAAACGCGTAACTGCAAACTGCGGTTTGCCCTTTGCGGTTTCTCATGAAAAACCTGGTGCTAAAGGTCTCCACTGAGAAACATTTCGCGATTAGCAGCGCGCAGAGTGTTCCTCTCTTTATGTATGACAGAAACCGCAAGATGATTGAGAAATAAGCTTAGGTTAAGCTAGGTCTTAAAAGAACAAAATAAATACTTTTTTAGGTAATCGTTTCTTCTTAAACGGGTCGGATTTGATAATTGACAGATGTTGTTGTAGGAAAGGCCAACGGCTTTCTTCATATTTTTTATTCAAAAATGAAACGATATTCCTCTCAAAGTCGGTTAAAGTGAAAGTATTCGCAGTTTTAGAAACGCTGTTTTGCATCTTTTAGCATCTTTTAGATAGGAACATTGAGGCTTTGTACTTTTTATTGTCTATTTTAGGTACTTAGTGTTTTTATTGTTTAGTATAGTCTTAATTTAGTGACAGGTTTCGTCTGAAAAACCCCCATGCGTGATTGCGACTTCCTGTATAAAGATTTACATTAATTGAAAAAAGGTCCTATCTGAGAAGCAAGGGGTGTTGATTTAAAAGACCTAATGTTATCCAAAACAGTGCACATGAGTCGGAACAGATATTTGTCCAGTCATTTCTTTAATTTTCGCACAACTGGAGCATGGCGTATAAGGAATTTTCACATTGACATGGCAATATGCAGTCGCAGTTGAGATGTGAAATAATACCACAGTCATAGATTCAAAAACCTTTTGCTATAAAAATCAAATATATTTCTAGGTGGTGCTATTTTGCAAACAATATAGTCCGGGAGCTAGGAACGTTTTGCTTCACCCAGAGACTGGCGCTTTAAAGAAAAGTCTCCAACGACTCAAGGATAAGGTAAGTTTAGCTTGAGACGGTCTTTTAGTGGTATTAAAAAAAGGAGAGGACGATCGTGGAATTCGCGTCTACACCAGATCAGCTATGGGAATTTCTGGGTCCCAGACTGCTCTTGAAGAAATGATGTGTCGCGTTCTCAGTGACGTCATTGAGAAGGCTTTGTGGGCAAAACTTGCAGTTCTTCTCTACTACGAAGCCCTCCTGAACAACTGGCGACGAGTATTTCAGGTCCTTGATCGTTGGAATCTTCGTCTATCTCCCACAAAGACTGTCGTTCGTCCCAAGATCACCTCCATCCTAGGCTGGATATGGTCCCAAGGACGATACGATACCCGCATCGTGTTGTTGCCGTGGCATCGTCCCCTCTTCCTCCAACTGTGAAAAAACTCAGGTCTTTTATCGGCGCCTACAAAGTCCTCAGTCACGTGCTCCCCAACTGCTAAAACGTCATCGATCACCATGAGTGCGGTCACCCTGGTCTTCAGTCCTCTGCCAAACTACAATGGGCTGAGAACTGAACTGAACCTCCAGATTCATGATAAGAAATCCGCGCAGGATTTCTTATCTAACAACAAAGCCATAGTTCTCTCTCGCTCTCGCAGCAACGATCGCCTCGGAATCGACGCCGTGTTAACTACTAAGATGGAATGGCTCGTCCAGAAAGTCGACAAGTCGTACGCCTTGGGCAACGAGCGGCTGTTGAACTTTCCCAAGTTCAATGTGCGAAATGACCAGATCAGGAGCAAAGCGTTCATGATGGGCAACGGTGGGGTTCTCCTGCGTCTACTCGTGGTGATTCATGAGAGGACACAGAGGCTTTTTACTGGAAGTACAATTCCACGCAGGGATGTTTTCTCCGCGGGCAGCTAATTCAACCTAATCCCATTTAATATGTCGCCCTCCTCAAAAGTGCGAAAATTTTCTTGTCGTGTATTAGGTTTCAGATACATTTTCTTAATCTTCATTTCGCGCCAGAATAAAGTAATTTGCGCGCAAAGGGCTCCTAAAAAAATCACAAGGTTTGTCCCATTTCGATTCAAACTTCTGGAGATACGCCGCCTTGGTAGCAGGAATACATTGCCGCGGCGAAGATCTGGCATTTTTTCCTCCTTGTCCTATTTTCTCCACGACAAATGTTTATATTTGCATTGAGAATGCAGCGCATGTCGGTGGATTTTCCTCAGTGTTTACCTCATGCGGTTTGCTACCTCTGAAAGAAGAGTGCCGGATCTCATCGTTTTGTTCATGTTTACTTGTGTTGGCGAATGTAAGGTAAATGAACCGACAACTGTAAGGTAAGAATTGAAGTTTTAAATTTGTTACTCGGCGAAAAATCGTGGAATTGGAATTCGTGAAACCCGTGAGTATTACCTCTGTTACCTAATATCATGCGATGACTCCTCGCTTTTTCGATGCGTAACACGGGTACAAGCGATAAATTTCTTTCGCAAAGTGAAGTATAATTTACTTAACGAGACCATTTGACGAATATTTTTCGTTATATGCTTTATTTATATTTGCTTGGCTTATTCAGGCTACATGCATGCCAGGAGGTTGATGACAATGTTTGTGTGCTATAATTATGCTGATAAGTTTTTGCACCTTCATATTGAAACTCATGTAAACAAAACGTTTGTTAACTCTAGCAAAACACTCTTCTATAATGGAGGAACTTTTAACGTCTTTCGGGGCCCAATATAGTGTCACATTTTTAGGGGGAACAAAGCTTGATTTTTGGCCAAACACACTAAAGCTTTTTTGTCTTTGAATAGAGCGCGAGGCAAACGCCCATGAGCGCAGTGTAACCCAGTGACTTTTTAGGTAGAGCTAACAAACATAGGCTGCACTTTAGGTGGCACACCCATGGGTGCAGTGTAACCCAGTGATTCTTTAGGTGGCACACCCATGGGTGCAGTGTAACTCAGTGATTCTTTAGGCAGAGCTAACAAACATAGGCTGCACTTTAGGTGGCACACCCATGGGTGCAGTGTAACCCACTGATTCCTTAGGTAAAGCTAACAAACATAGGCTTCACTTTAGGTGGCACACCCATGGGTGCAGTGTAACCCAGTGATTCCTTAGGCAGAGCTAACAAACATAGACTGCACTTTAGGTGGCACACCAATGGGTGCGTGTAACCCAGTGATTCTTTAGGTAGAGCTAACAAACATAGACTGCACTTTAGGTTGCACACCCATGGGTGCAGTGTAACCCAGTGATTCTTTAGGTAGAGCTAACAAACACAGGCTGCACTTTAGGTGGCACACCCATGGGTGCAGTGTAACCCAGTGATTCTTTAGGTAGAGCTTACAGACATAGACTATACAGGTGTACATCAGACGGGAACAAGTTTTCCAGTTACAACTTTGTTAAAAGGTGCTACACCATGGCACTTCGACTATTTCTTTATCGCGCGCTTGATACATTGTTTTGACGCACAATTGATAGTCAGGAGAAGTCGTATTGTCTAAAACCCATAGCAAAAGACAAATTTACACACATCACAGGGGTAAGGCAAGGTAATACACGGTATTTCCTTCAGGTACATTTACTTTCAGGTATAGAAAAATAACTACTAATAATAAAGCTAGAAATGAATCTAAGATAAAAACTAAAATAATAACAATATAACAATAAAAAACCTGCTATACATTGAGGCCTTGTGTAAAGATACACATATCTAAATTAAGGTTTTCTAATTTTCCTTTAAAATAGTTATTGCCGCACCTTCACAGACAAGCTGTTCTACAACACTCTTCAGTTATAAGAAAGGCTTCTTTTTTACAATTCAGTGCGGGGTTGTGGAACAGCGGGCTTGTTTGTATTCATGCAATTTCTGTTAGGTTATAAGCGATTAAATCGCATGCAGCGACGAACAAAACGCGAAGCCGTCAGATACTCTAGAACCGTGTTATTTACAGTGCTGTGCATTATTATTGCTTAACTAACTAACTACGCGGTGATGGAAATAAGTTTCGGCCGCTTTAAATTTTGAGACAATTCACTGGTACTGTATAGTCATCATTGGAGCGGAAAGTTAGCACGCGAGCAGGGCGATTCTGCTGTAGTTTCTGCAATGTAGAAGATATTACAGCAATGAGGCTCCCGAGGTCCGTTCCCGAAATCGCAACTACATGTAGTATGAAATGTATTCTGCGTCCAGACGTCTCCTTTTCCAGGTTAGGTTAAATAAACCGTCCCAACTGTTTGTTTGACAAAGCTCCCGCGAGACGGTTTTTTGGTGATTTTATTAATTTTTCCGATCCATTTTTTTTCATCTCTATTTTCGCGGCTTTTGCGATACAAACTAAATTCATTTTTAGTTGGGATGGCATTACACTGCTTAATCATGACGGCTTTCGAAGAAACTGAATATATTGCGCTTCGCAATTTCGCAAAATTGCTGCGGGAATTTAAAAATATTTTCTTCTTAAAAAGCGTTTTCACGCTTCTTTCTCTAGTCAATTACCTCGTTTATCTCGTTTTCTTAAGGTCCTTGAGAACTGAATAAGACAATATTTTATTACCTACAACTTAAAAACCTGATTTATTTTGACCAGATCGAAACAAAACTGACCTCTGAAATGGAAGAAGAAAAGCCTTTTATTTTTGCCGGCTTCGGCCTGCCAACGCGATCGTGTCTGGTTTGCTTTCATATGATGACATTTTCCCGACAGAAGGGTGTCGGGAAAAACACCTCGCGCTGATCATACGTGACAAAATCCGCCGCGCCTAAGCTAATGAAGAAAAGTCTCCTGGAAGGCTCCATACAATTCCTTATAACAAAATCATAAGGAATTGTATGGAGCTGTCCGGGATACTTGCAGTGCAAGCCCTGTGTGTCTTCTAATGGTGCATTGAACGATGCCTTCGTCGCGGTCGCGGGAACGGACGCGCCCTTGGGGGAAGCGGCCCGACCCTCCGCCCGTTGCATCTGTGCCGCAACGCCGGGGAGAGTAGCATGGTGGGCAATCAGATCAGCGATCTCTTGCGGGACCTCCCCTATAATAAAGACGAGCCCTTGTGGGGGGAACCGCAGAACGTGCACTATGGCAAAGTGCGAGGGGACGCGGTGGAAATTATAGAGGTGAAAGTGGGTGAATGGGAAGGGTCGCTTGTGGCCTTCGAGAACAGTAGAGAGACGCAGTTCCTTTTGGATTTCAAGAAAGGGGTATGAATCACGTGGTTTTGGTCAGCGACCAGACGGACGAGGTTCGCGACAATACCAGCAGTTCGTTCAAGGTGCGCCTGGTGCAACCCATTGAGTTGAAAGGCGAAGGGTGTAAGGTGGGTCTCGGATACATCTCGACCCCCTACGCCTCGCTGGAATTAACTCAACTTACGAATGCGTTGAACGAGGTGTTGTTCCAGAACCGATCATAGTTGGTGGGCAACGGGTCAGTAGACAACCCGTAGGTCGTGGACAACGTCGTCTGGGGAAAGGACATCACGGGCGATCCCAGCCTCGTAGATGGGGTGAATCTAATGAAAATGGTCATCAACCAGTTTCAGTTCAACCCGATGCAAGTGGCTCAGAAGAGGACCAACGCTGCTAAGATCACTTACTACCCACGCACCAATGAGATGGCGAGGACTTGCACATGCACGCTAAGGCTAAGTCAAAAATCAAACTGGCGAGTGGCTTCACCTTTTTTGAGTTTTGGGTTCACATTAGCATGGCCCTTTGCAAGGAGTGACTGCTTCACAAGGTGAAGGACAGGTATGCGTTGGGACCCAATATCCGTCACGACGCCATTCGCAAGACGCGGTCGTCGGGCAACTATTTTGTAGCCGTCGGCGACACGGAGATTGACAGCAACGACCTGTGGAAAGTTATGGCCAGGCACCTTTGGTTGAGACTCACCCTAAACTGGCTCTTCAGCAATTTGAACGTAACCTTCCGGCAGTTGGAGGGCAAACCCTTCCGCACATTTGTGGTCTACTCGGAAGTCGTAGACAGCAACATCGTTGGCGACCAATTGCACCCGCTAGTCCATGAAGTGGAGTACCGGGGCGAGAGCAAGGGGGTGGCCTCCTTTGAGCCGTTGCGCATTCAGTGGCTGCCTTGTCAACGAGAGTTCATCGACACAGTGGAAGTAGAGGTGTCTTAGAAACACCGGGGATTGGTTCATTTCAACACGAAGTGCAACCTCATCACCTTCGTGTTCAAGTGGGAGGTATAAAAATGGAGCGCCACCACCGCGACCGCCTTAATCATGAAGGGAGGAAGACTCACGCGTATCATCCACCCTTCCTGCGTCCGCAGGATGGCGAGGTGTCTGCAAGAGGATCTCTGGAGACTGGGCGGACCCATTTTGGTGGAAGCCACCAAAGCCCCTCGTCCGCGGACGAATTCAAGGATAGCCCTTGCGCAGCGTGGTGCGTACGGCTGGTCAGGAGATACAAGGGGGGTGAAGTCGAAGGCGTTCCCTATTGCGGAGCAAATGACAAGAAGGCAGCCAAATCGACCGTCCAGAAAGTTTGCACGAGCTCGATGGGACGACTGAGCCACGTGTTGGGCGTGTGATACCCAATAGAGCGACTCTGCTCGTGCCTCCCACCCCCGGCCCCAGCGGACTCGGCGCGGCATTCCCTCGGCTTCATGACCCAGCAGCTGGTTTTCTGGTGTTGCCCCATCGACGAGGACAGCGCGGCGGTTGGATTAGTCGCGAGGTAGCGCGCCCCCGCCTACGACACGGTGCGGTGGGTCAGTGGTATAGAATGTCGACGTCTGCGCTGAGTCACAAACGCCTGGACGAGCACAAAGATAACCGTGAGCAGCCAGCACATCTTCAAGGTCTCCCCGACCGATTGCGACCTGCAGAGGTCGTCCCCTTTCAAAAATTGAGTACCAGCATGACCCCCATGAAATTCTCCTTGTGTGCCCTGAACAATTATTGCGACTTGAATCGCAGTTATTTGGTCCTGTACCTACTGTTGTACTCGGCCGCCACCAACGTCCTCTTGGCGGAAGAAGAGGCGGTTTCGACGACGACGACGACGACACCAGGTTCATGTGCGTGGTCACCAACCTGGCCCACAGCATCTTCAAGCAGATCAACCTGCGGTTCAATGGGGCCCTGATGAGCGAGCAGACCGACACGAGCGCCTACTCGGCCTTCTTCCAGACCTTGCCCAACTGTAGCAGCGATGACTGGGACACGCCCTTGCAGCCGCAAGGCTGGATCAACTACTTGGACGTGACACCCACACTGGCCAGCACATCCTGGACGACAAATGCACGGCGATTTTTTTTGGTAGTTTACTACATTTTTTATTAATGATATAAAATGTACACTACTACACCTATACCAGTGAAGAACTACTAAAAATACACAAAATACACTTCTACATATAATAATGGCTGATACAAAGAATGTCTAGGTACAATTACTACTATAAAATATGATATAAGATTATTGATAATTTAATTCTCACTGCCACGGCAGAATAATTGAAACTATTTTCATTTACTTTCCTGATCGGCAACTTTGTTACTTGAATTCATAAGTTTCTTTTGTAACTGGTGAACATAACTGACCTTATTTTAAAAAAAATGGTGAAGGAAGGATAAATACATTTATCACGGTATTCGTTAATAGATTTAAATTCCGAAAATAATGTATAAGCCCCTCCAAATAGAAGCCCCCCAAACTCGTAACGCAAAAAAAACCCGTTAAATCACCCCTCCAAATACAAGCCCCCCCGGGGGCATGTACTTTGAAATTGCCGTCAAATAAAAAGTACAATAAAGCAAAAACGGTAAATTTTTTTTCAACTATAAACCTAGCCCACTCGATTTTGAAACGCAATTTTCCCTCCGAACATAAGCCCCTCCAAAAGGGCCGTTGAAAAATATAAGCCCCGGGGCTTATTTTTGGAATTTTACGGTATGTTGCTTAGCTAAGACTAACATGTGATTAATAAACAAGTAGTCTTCTTTCCTGTATATCGCTGTCTGAAAGGTCCCTTAAGATTATGTTTAGTTGATTACTCCAGGTAAAAGGTCTCACCAGAAAGCCTTGGTAAAGGAACATATAATTAATAAATGCTCAAGGGATTCGCTCTCTTGTTTACAAAATGTATATGCAGTATGTTGCCCAGTATCCGGACACTTCAGTTTAGAAATGTTGCAACTTTCCTTCCTTAATCGCAAGAGTTCTGATATTTGGCCCAGAGACAATCTATTTAGTCTGTAATATGACGAAAACGTTTTTTATCTTCGTATAAGTCGTGAAATTAATATGTTTGCAGAGCTCAAATGTTGCCCAGTATCCGGACACTACAAGAACAACGTAATTAAACATAAATTTGGACAGGCAAGAGACTTTTAGCCTATCTTGCTCTTTCAAAGTAGTCTGGCTTCCGATTCCAAAAATATAAATCGGCTTGGGAACCTAGCATCTTGAAACAAAACATAATAAATCACTGGGAGGCGTATGGTGGGGAGAACTACGCGAGCGGCTGATCAAGGATAGTCTAGGGCTGTGAAGAGAAAAGACGAAAAAAGAAACTAACAACAGCGATTTATTGTTGTTCTTTTCCCTATAACATCCTTTTTAAATGTTTATTTTCAGGAGGCATTAATTTTAATGACACTTTTCTCAGCCATTTCCTCTACAGCGGCACACACTTTCCCCAGGACTCGTTGATGATCTCTCTTGACTTGTATTCTGTAAGAGGATGGTATAACCGCACCGCCTCCAGGGGATTGATAGTGTGGCTATGGAGAGAAACTCTTACAGGGAATACCGGTTTATTCACTGAAATGCAAGAACTTTTAATTAAAATTGTATATTCAGAGAAAACTTAATAAAAAGGAAAGGAAAATAACTGATTAACGTACCACTCAATACATTCTACATTACTGGACCCCAAAAGCTCATAAAAACATGAAGACAGTCCTTTTGGAACTCTTCCTATCGGGAGGCCAGCAATTGTTCTGACTCTTTCTCCACGTTTCTTATCTGTTACACGGTTCCATAAAGAGCTAGGGATTTTCTCGATTTCTGGTACCCACACCAAACATCCATGAGGATCATGCCTGTTTCCGTACTCTTTTGTGACCGGAAGTAGTAACGCGGGGGGCGGCCTTATCTGGAATTCCTGATATCCTTTGATGACAGCGTTTTCGATGACAATGATGTGCATTCTGTAAGGGAGTAGACAACAAGAATAACTTAAACTTTCGGTTGTTTTTATTTTGAAGTGTTAAACTTGTGTCATGACAATTTAAACAGCTACTGACAACAAATATCTCCAACCTGTAACTCAGTATTATTTGTAACACCCTTTAAAAACGCCGGGGAGGCTGGAAAAATACATTTCTGATGCATTTCTTTCGCATCTCGTTCACGACTTCGGGAATCTCACTACTAGTTAAGAAAGTAACAGAATTAGGAATACGTCAAGGGAACTCTTCCTAAAAAGGCTTACAAAATTGTTTTTTACAGTTCGTTCCTTAAACGACTGTTCTTCTTATTACATGCACGGATGACAAACAAATGGTTTGTTGCCAACATCAAGCCCGATAGGAATGCAGGAGATGTGCATCCACGATTTACAGGAACCACACTGGACCCATGGATTATTTTCCACGTCACTGAGAAAATATTCCTGCAAGCAAATGTTGCAAATGTCGTCTTGCTGCCGCCATTGCTTGCCTTTAGCTCTAGGAGTTTGACTTCTTTTTGTTACCTTCCCAGACTTCTTTGTTCTCTCATTGCTTGCATTTTTGTTCGCTTTTTGTTTTTTCTTTTTTTCTTCTCTTTCTAACTGCTTCCGAACTTTCTCTTCCACAATTCTCTTTCGTTTTTCTTCCTTCTTCGCTTCCTTATGTCTCATCTTCTTTTGTTTATCTGCCAACTGTCGTGCTTTTTTGTGCTTTTCATGAAGTAGTAGCTGCATTGCCTCAGGGCCACTGACAAAGTTTGGGAGGGTTCTCTTTAAATTCTTCCTCTTCGGAGGACCTTTTGCTTCAAGGGTGGGATACGTCAGTATCTCTTTTAAGACCTCCCCCGAGGAATTTAACTGATTGGAAGTTGTCTCCCTTGTTTGAAACACCATGTAACCTCTAAGGTCTGGTTCGGAGGCTTTGTTTGCACTGTTTGTTGACTTCGGTTGCTCGCTAGACGAGCTAGAGCAGGTGTAAAGCTTTTTCCAAGCCATGAAGGTTAGGCTCCCGTCCAGGTCATAATTTTCTTCCATTCTGTGACGGTATTTTTTTCTCGCCGGAGTGGACAGAGCAGCTTCCAGGGCATCAAATGCTTGAACCGTAGCGGTTTTTTTGGGTGGAACCTGTCTCAGGTGAATCTTCCTCGTTAGATGGTTTGGTAGAAGGAACTAGCACCTCCCCTGAGGCCTGGTTTCCGTTAAGCGGATATATAACAGACTTGCGAAACGCACTAACAAGAACAGAAGGACTCATGACGTCCTCCCAAGACCCTTTAAAGACTGAGCAGAAATTCCTCCTGTTGATGTCACTGTTTGGGTTCCGCTGACTGAATTCTCTAACTGATTTATACCAGCTCTTCTTCATGGGTCCGAAGAGACCAACATCAGTAGGTTGAACGAAGTGAGTCGCGTTTTTGAGAAGAGCATACAAACAAATTCCATTCTTCTGCGCTAGCTGGAATGTCTCAAGATCAAGATGAGAATCATGGCCGTCAATGAGGAGTACGACGGGCCTCGCTGGTGGAAGGTTTGGGATGAAATGATTCGCAAACCACATGTAAAATGTTTGCGTATCCATGTATCCGGTTTCCGTCATAGAAAAAATAGTTCCTTCAACACCTCCCTCTAAGGGGTTGAAAGTCACCGGGACACGCTTTCCGGGGAAGATGAAGTATGGTGGCATGCACTGTCCACATGCATTGAAACAAGGTAACATCGTGATGTGCTCTCTACTTCCTGAAAGGACGCGGTAGGGTGCGTGCTTCCGGATACATGGTCCAATTACTGTTCCAGCCCTCCCTTGTAGGTCGAACCCAGTCTCGTCGCAATTCCAGATTTGAGCAGGGCAATTTGCGAGACCTTTTTCAATTAGAAATGCTTCAAAATCTGTAAACCAGGTATCTACAGCATCCTTAGATATACGAGCCCTTTTTTTCTCTAGAGGTCGTGCCTTGCGAAGTTTTACTTTAGGGTTGCGCTTGATGAAACTTCCAAACCACTTGTTTCCAGGCTTGTTGTCTTTAAAAGGTGTAGTCCTCCCATCTTTGTCAAGGAATTTTTTCACTGCTTTAAGGAAACCATCCTTCGACAAGCCAAAACCACGGTTTGCCAGCTCAATCAGCCATTCTGCGAATTGGTTTTCTTCAGCTTTGGTTAGAACTGGAGAAGGCCCCTTCCGGCGGTCAAAGTTCACTCTCCCATTTAGCCTGTCATGCAGAGTTGATTTATTTAGTTCCCACTTTTGTGCGGCTTTTCAAGTACTCATTCCACCTTATTTCACATCTTTCATCAGGTTTAGAAATTTTTCGGACCGCTGCAGCGCCATTCTACAGTCACAACAGAGAGATTTGTATGAGAATTCTTGGTTCAAAAATTATCGCTTCCGGTTATAGTCGTTTTACGAAATGCAGTCATGCGAAACAAACAAAATATTTCGCCTTGACAAGTGCGTGATAAAAATTGCCAAGAGGAGTTGAGTAAAGTTACATTACACAAATGAATATATTTATCCTAAGCTATGGTTCTAGTTATGGATATGAAATAAGTCTTGTCCGGATAGTGTACGCAGCTAATTCAAGGATTTTGCACCACAAAGAAAACACTGTCCGGATACTGGGTACCCGACATCCAAAGCTTAGTTAATGTTTATGGCCTCCGTTATTCGAAACCAGTAACATTTTAAAGCTAATTATTGAATTTTTTGAAAATTTAACTTCTCTAAGTATCCTAACCTCAAATATTTTAAAATTTCTTTGAAACAATCACATTTTAGAAGCCTATATTTGAACAGCGCTAGGCTTACTGTGCAGTAAACAGCGTAAATATTAGCCATGAAAATTTGACTCACCTGAATAGAACGGCGCCTTCTGCAACTGTTTCTCAAGCTGTGAGCCCGCCAAAACGTGCATTTCAAAGCTGAAATGTTCGGCTTTCGTTCGGAATACTTCGTTTACCGAAAATTAAGAAGGGTGCCGGAAAAATTGAGTTTTCGTTTTAAGTGTCCGGATACTGGTACTGTCCGGATACTGGGCATCATATTGTAATGGTGAATTCGCTAGACAAATTTTAAAATGAAAAGAGTTTGTTGTCAAGTATCTGTTTAAAATTCTATCGTGGAATTCTCCGGATCTGGTGTCTATAAGGGCATTAATAGGCAATTCATAGATGTCGTGCCAATCAAGGCATATATGAGGAAATTTTTCTGCTTCAGGAAATTTTTGTTTAGTACGTCTAGCTTCATAGCGCAGCACTCGCGCGCGCAAGGCGCGCGTAGCGGAGCACCATGCGTAAGAAAGTATGGTAATCTCTGCTTCCAAGAAATTTTGGTCCTGAGAAAATCGTCCGTACATAGTTCCACTCCTTCATGTTAGCGGATGCAAAATGACACACTATAATACTATCTGTGGAAAACTTGGTATTGGACATCCATGTTGTGATCAATTAACAGCTCTCAAACAAGGTATCCGCTGACCAGTGTCACATGACTGCATGGCCGGCTCAGGTATACAACTCGTGGAAGTGATGTAGTGTTTCAAAGTTATCCGCTAAGCAGTAATTCGTTTTTAATTGATCGCAGGCTCAGGTCAATTTTTTTAAAGGTATACTTCAGTTTGCTCCCTGCTTGTGGCGAAAGTGTAATTCATTGAGGAAGCCATTTTCCAAAGCATCCCTCGAGGGCTTCACATTTGGCCTTGGCTAAATCTATATATTATGTTTCTCTAATTTCAGAATAAACATTTCTGGAAAAGCCGTTCTCGATCTGTATGGCCTGGTTTTTAAGATAGAGTTTAATTTTATCATAGGATATGAATGTTTTGCCACTTTTGGGCCCGCAAAATGTCAAACATTTTCCACTGGGTCAGTACGGCCTTAAAAATTTAAATTAACTGAAACCATTCAAGAGGTGTAAAAGGTAACACGTTTGGATTCTGCTTGATTAGTAGTACATTTGTGTCGGTTACAACCTTTCCACAGTTGTAAAACCGCCCTTGTGCACTTTCATAATGACATTTTGGTTCCTATTGATAAACGTCACTGTGTTATGCTTTTACTTTTAGACCTGTCTGCTCCCTTCGACTCTGTGGATCACGATATACTCCTTACAAGATTGCACTCTAAATACTCTATCTCTGACATAGCTCTAGAATGGTTTCGCTCCTACCTTACTAATCGCTCGCAATTTGCGTTAATCGAAGGGTGTAGATCGCAGTCTCGCAGAATGCAGCTGCCAGACTGATTACACGGTCTGGGAAGTATCATCACATTACTCCCATCCTCCTCGATCTTCACTGGCTACCTGTTTCTGAACGAATTAGATTCAATATTCTATTACGTACCTTCAAAGCTCTGCAACAGCAATCTCCAACCTACATTCAAGACCTTATCACCCCCTACTTACCTTCTAGATCGCTTCAGTCATCCTCTACGTTCAGTCTGCATCCTGCTAGCTTTAACCTAAAGACCTATGGGTCTAGAACATTCTCTGTTTCAGCCCCCGAACTTTGAAACAAACTACCTGACGGCATACGCTCATGCGAGAATCTAAGTCTTTAAAAATGTATGATTTCTGGTAACACTTTTTGAAGTCTTGTCACAATCACCTTTGAGTCAATTTTGGCATCAACAATGATCGCTGAAATTGGCCTCCAATTACCGACGTATCTCTTATCTTTCCCTTTTTTCAATCAACTTATTGATAGCTTGCTCTTGAGTTTTTGAGAGTTCTCTGGGCTCATATGAATAATTGAGCGAATCCACCAATAAATGTCCCACTGAATTCCAAAATGGTTTATAAAATTCTGCAGTTCGACCATCCTCACCTAGAGATTTACAGTTTTCAAAGGATTGAAGGTAATCGAAGAATTCGTTAACTGTCAACTTTCCTTGACAGGCACTTTTCATGTCAGTTTCGGAATTGCTGTTGTCTGGAAAAAAAATTGGGATCGGCGACTTAATTATCATCATATGAGGCATATTAGTCCGAATAAAGTGCTCCATTTCTGCCATGATATTCGTTTGGTTCGAGTTGAGAATACCTTTGATTTTGAACATCCTGCGAATACAGCTCTTATTTCCCCTGTTAGATTCAAGCCCTACAAAATATTTATTACTTTTCTCGCCCTGTTCATACCAAATTGCTCTTGACCAGAAAATTGCGCCTTTAGCAATGTAATCGAAATGAGTCATATTTAATCTTGTTTTCTCTTAAAGGCCTTGTTTTTGGCATATTTCATCGTAAATTGTCTTATGTGGCATTTGATTAAGTCCCATAAAACTCTTTTGTCGGTCATAAAAATCTAGTCGCCTTTCAATTAGAGGTTTGTCTCGCTTCCAGGTGAAGAGTGTACTATCTGGGTTCCGAGTTCTCCGTATCTCGATTAAATCATAATTTAAACAAATATCATTGGGAAATTTCACTGATCTCTTTTCCTTAGGTGAGCCACCGACACGGTCAAGATTTTGGTCCATTATAACATTAAAGTTGCCTCCAATTATGATTCTTTGGTCTTGACTGGTAACGAAATCGTCCAACTTCTGCTGTAGCTCATTAAAGAAATATGCATTGCTCTTTTATTTTGTTAGGTGAATTTATGTTACAGAAGATATAATGGTATTCAATAAAATGTAACGACCGTTGTCATCCTTTAATGTAGATTTCATTTCAAATTCTAAGCTGTCTCTTACCAAAACTAAAACACCACAACTGTGATTCGAGCCATGTGCAATTTCCCTAATAGCATGAGTCTTTCCTCTTTAAGAGGCTGTCTCAGTAAAAACCACCCACTCAATTTCGCGTGAAAAATAATTTTGCCTGAGACTCTGGCGAGTGAAAGGCTTTATCGAGACTATAACTAAAATAGGTTTGCTTTGATTCACGATAATTTTCTGGCCGCGCTGGGGGGCGCCGAATATTTTGTCCCGCCACGGCTATTTTGCACGTCTTGAAAACTGACCATTTGGCATTTTTTGGGGCGCTCTAAAATGTTTGATTTGCACCATCTACCAATGAATTTTATAACTATTTATAGGTAAAC